CTGGTGCTCAGGTGTCTTGAGGACAGCGGATAACTGTCAGAGGCTGCACATGTTCATAGGAGGAGGTTGGCACCACTATTTATGCAGCAGGTTAAGCTCATCTTTGCCTGGGCTGCCTTGGCCTGCCCAACCTCCCACCATCTCCCTGCCCTTGTCACGAGTTTCCTTCCCGTCCCTTCCTCCAGCACCCGCAGTTGTGTGCTCAGGTTGTGCGCAGATTGAGGACGCTGGCACGTCTTTGTCCTGCCAGGCCTGACTAGTTCCCTGATGTGTCCTGTCCCTGCCAGGACAGGAAAAGGTTGCCAGGCCAAGAAGAACCACATTATGGACTTGAAGCTGCAGCCAGAAGAGCTTATACTAGTGCACGTGCAGATGCTGGCTGTCGCAGAGCTGCAGAAGGCTGCCTCTCCAGAGTGTTAATAATTCATCGTTGCTTCTTTCCATTCTTTCCAAACGGTGCGGGAGCCAAAAGGGATCAAACAAACTCAAGTATACTATTATGACAAAACAAACTTATCTGTGCCTTGCTTTGTGAGGATAGACAGATGGGGTAGGTTAGAGAGAAAGCTCTCCTGATCACCTTGACTTTCCGCTTTGATTATTTTCCAGTGTCTTAATTTTAAGTAGACAGATGAATGACTTACCACAGCGTATAGGTGTGAGGCAGAGATATTTTAGCTTGGTCTTCTATGGAAATGAGGCTTGTTTTCTTTCATTACCTCTCTCTCTCTATACTCCCACATACCATACTTTTTAACCCATGACCAATTTCAGTTAAATTGGGAAAAGAAGTACTGAAATTAAAGATATAAATTTTATTAAAAGAGATGATCAAGAAGAGAAAAGCAGTATTATTACATAGTCCTTACCAGACAGCAGAGGAGCCACGCAGAAGACAGACATTCTGAAGCCAAATGCAGAGCAAATGCCTCAGTATGGGTTCACACCTTATTAGACATCAGAGGATCCCATTACAAGGCATGAAATAATAGGAAAAAACCCCTTAATTCTGCTTATGGAGCTAATCTGCTAAATTCTGTGTAAGCCAGAGGTTGTTGCTTTTCCATATGGGGAACCTCGCTGAACTTAAAAAAGGGAGGCTGGTGATTTCCTTTAGTGCAGTGGTAATTTGAATGTTTCTGGTTTGCTTTTTTAATTCATGTTTCCCTTGCTAGGGAGAATTATTGCTGTGTCACTGTATGACTTTTATATGGCTGTGTTTGAATTTGTTTGGCGGAAACCACAATGAGAAGCAGTAAAAAGAGATTTTGAAATTTAATTGTGTGGGCAACATGGTCAAGAGACCTGAAAACAAGGGACCAGCTGCTCTGGGACAGAGTGCTACCAGGAGAGTCTCTTTCCTGCTCTTCAGAGTAAGATCTTTGCAAAAAAAATGCTTTCACCATGCATCTGCAGTCATCCGTCACAGTGTCTTACCAAACGTAGCAGTATGTTTTTGTGTGGGATTTTCTGGGTTTTTTTTTGTTTGTTTGGTTGTTTTTTTTATTGGTTGGGGTTTTGTTTTTTTTTAATCTTGAAGACTGTTTCTGTTTCTTCTCTGTGTGGGGAAAAGTATTTTAAAGCACATAGGCTAAAACTGCCTTAAAAGGTAGGCATTTCAGGCAAATTTTGTATTCTGAGTGAAGCTATGCACATCTGATTACGAATTGTGAAAGGTATTCATGAGTTCTTATTTCCCCTTGGGGGAAAACCAGCAGGAGTGGCTGCTCAGAAAGTGAGGGGGAGAGGATGCCTGGGGGCTTTACATACCACCGTCCAAGATCTGCTTACAGCATCACGTTGGGAATGGATTCTGCTTACCCCAATGTTTTATTTCCATGAAATCGCCTGATCTTCTGCACTACCACCTCTCTCTTTCACAATGGCTCTCAGCTGTCAGGTAAAAACTTTCTGAAGCTGTTGGAACTAAAGCAAACCCAGTCAAGTCTCACTTTCTGCATTGTTTCAACTCGGGGAATTTGTAATTGAACGAACTAGTGGAGAATTATTGAAAAGAATGAAAACATCTCTACAGTTTTGCACTTGAAAACAGCAGAAGGACCTACCTGAGTTTTCCTGGCTTTTATGCAAATGTTTTTTGGTTTTTTGTCACCTTCAGAGAGCACCGAGGTGACAGCCCTCCCTTCATCTGCCCCGGTAATTGGTGCTCTGCCACTCCTTGCTAAAGGATTCGGAAGAGGCTGACCCACCTTGCAGGGAAGGTGAGTAAAATGAAGCTGGCCTGCAAGAACGTGGGCACCGTGGTAGTCAAATGTTGTTTCTCCTATGTATACATTGTTTTTCACCAACATTTTCATGGAAAAAAAAACCCTAAGAAAATCCTCGTCCCACCCCAGCCCTCCCAGCCCTCCATACTCCATTGAAATATGTAGCTGAAAAAATCTGGTTGAAAGTAGAAACTCTTGAGATAATAATCCTGCAGCACTAGTCCAGGGCAATTATATTTCACATTTGATGAGTCCATTCTCTAGACCCCAACCTACGTTATATCTTCCAGATGTAGTAGTTCGTCCAGCATGGGAGGTGCACTCCTGTGGCAGACCCTTGCTCTGCAGGAGAAACGTAGGGCACGGGGCATATTGACTACTGCTGCCAGGGGCAGTGGTTTACCATTTCTGAATTTTCTATGAAAAGTGGACAGTTTTCAAACAGAAAACTTTAGCTTGTTGAAAACTAGGGGCGGGGCGGGGGGGGAAGGTTGAGGGAGTAGGTCAACATTTACTAATAGATCAGCTCAGGCTGGGTTTGGTAAGGAATGGAAGAAAGAAGGTGAGGCTCAGATGCCTTAGACATTGCTTGTGGCATATTCTCCCAAAATGAAGCTGATTCATATTTGGAAATGATTTGACTGCAGGCAGATAGTTTAGAACATAATGTATTATGCAGATTTCTACCTAATTTACTTGTCCAATTAGATCATTAAAAAGGCCTCAAGCATTTGTGGCTTGATTTTACTTTGTAGCATTTTTAAGAAAAACTCACCATCTTTTCCTTGCAGAAACCTTGTCCATGTATTCTCTCCACTTTGTTTTTTCTGGATGAGGACAACTGAGGCGTGTATACGGGGCTAGGAGATACTGTCAGAGAGAAGACTGGGAAGTGTCTGAAAGTGGTATTAATCAAAGGTTGCAGGAGGTGGTGGCTTCACCGGAGACTTTCCTGTGACAGATTAATTGAGCTACATTTTTGTGGCTACTTAACTCTGACACCATATTTTTGCGTGGACATTAAATTGCACTTTGTAGGAACTTCGGCAGCCTGCATCGTGAAGTCCCACAGAAGCAGAGGTATTTTTTGAGAATTGAAATTAGGGAAGGCACTAATTGTAAACATTTTTTGCTGATTGTCCTAAATAATATTTTGGCCTTGTATGTTCCTCCCTACCTGCAGTTCTTCAACTCTGACTTTGTACAAATTATCAAATTAATGCTGTCATGAGAGCGCGGTACTGAGCAAGACGACGGCTGTCCTTGTTGCATAATGCAGAGAGCTTTGGCCAGAGGACTTTTTAGCAATAGTGAAGAAGGGCGGGGTATGGAGGACACACTCTGTAATTGAGGATCAAAGCTAATTGTTTCTGCTTCTCAATCTGTATAGGAGCTGTTGAGCTGCAAAAGGCAGATGTGTTAGGAAGCATCTCTCACCTAGACGTTTTGTCATCAGGGAGAAGTGAAGAGGTAAGTTCTACTTTTTACAAAATCAATTTTTTGTAAGAGAAGTCTTTCCTCAAAGTAACTTGGCAATACATTTGATGATGAGAGGTTTAAGTATAACCTAGACTTAGTAAAAACTGCATGTAATGTACAGAAATGTGATGGATATAGTAAGGATATTGCTAAAAGCTGTTAAAATAGTTCTTAACAACAGAAGCATTATCTAGTTTATCTCATCTGTCAGGCAGAAAAGAGGTGGAGAAGCTATGGAAGTAAAATGGAAAAGGTGGGGGAAAATTTTTCTAAAAATTTTAGGAGGTGGCTTTTGTTAGGATAAAATCCCACTCTATACAGATCTATGAAGTTGTATTTAATTTCCGCGGAATAGGTTTTTTTCCACAGATCTTGATACCACCAGAAGTTCTTAACTTTCCAATTAAAAAGTGGGAAATCATAGTTTTTGTTTTGTCTCCTCTTATTTACCAAATGACAGGGAGCACTAGGAACTGAAATAGCCCTGTTTTGCTTTTACCTCTCCAGTTCTGTATTCTGGTAACTATGTAATGTAACACTCAATAATTATTAGCATTAATTTGAACACAAAGCTTTAAAATAAATTTATATGTTTTCATTCTGGCAACAGATCAATTCAATCTCTGTTGCAGAAGCAGCTGGATAATCTGTATATAGTTTCCTTTTATTGTAGTTCTCTATGTGTGGTATTCTGCATACTCCCTGTTTGCATTCCACCAGCAACTGAAGCACAAGACACAGAATTCAGTCTCCAGTAGTAGAAATCAGACTTCTAGCCAAGTTTTATGTCAAAATTCACGAGTGGTGTAGGAGAGAGGGTTTGAAGTGCTTTTTGAATTAAGCTGCTTCAACAGAGTCTTAAATAATCCAGTGCAAGGCAAAGTTGTGAAAGTAGAGTTTAGCTTGGAGAACAGAATTGCAACAATTACTGAGTAAACGATTTCTGGAAAAAAGAGATATTGCAGAGCCTCCTTGGTAAATAATGGTGCCCAGTACACAGTGGCCTAAATTGGACTGTCATGTTCAGAACTGAATGTAGGAAAGGAAAAAGGAATATAAATGATCATGTTTTATGCTTTAAAATGTATTTGCGATCTTGGAATTTTAGATCTCTTGTGTTTTTAAAACATCATTTACTAAAAATGGTCGGTATGAGCAAACTGAGTAGCATGGAGTTGCTGCCCATATGATGTTGGTTTTTTTTTTTTTGCCTTTTTTTTGGTAAGGTCTCTGTTTCTGCTAACTATCTTTATTATAATAGGGAAGGCTTTCAGAAGCGGCACAAAGTTGAAGATGGATATTAAGGGCATGAAGAACTATCTCTATTGGCTGTACTGCCAGTTTGAACTAATCACCTGCAGCTACCTCATGGAGCCCTGGGAAAAACTGCTCTTCTACACTTTCAACATTACCATGTTAGTTATGGTATTATACACTGCTTACATCTTTGTCCCTGTCCACATTAGCACGGCTTTTCAATTCTTCTTGCACTTTTTTGGAAACCAACATGAAAATACTGTTTCTATCGTGAAGTAACATTGGCAACCTGACACTGACTTTTGGATCAAGGAAGTGTTTTTCTTAACATTCCGGTTTTGTTTAGAAACAGGTTCAGGGTGTGTGCAAACACTGTTTTATTCTGCAGTATCTCTTAGTGTTCTTCTGTATTGTGGGACTCTGTGACAGCAAATTATTTTGCCAAAACAATTTCAATCAGTCCTTGTTTTTATCGTTTGACTGACTGCTTCTTAAAGAGCTTTCAATTTTAAAGACTGGCTGGAGTTACGAAGCTGGGCTTGGTACAGAAACGACTGTGCTACATATTTTGTTATTCCAGGGAGAGCTGCTTGGATATGGAGAGTTTTCATCTTGAGGAATTATATGGCATACATTTGTTCTTGCCTGCCATAGCTTTGCTGACAGGAGAGATGTGTACACAAAAGGTTTTGCACAGTACTATACAACTATAAGCTGCTTCTCAGCTTTGTATGTATGTATTTATAGAATGATTTTATTATTTATTTAGTTTCCTCAACTATTTAATACAATGAATTACTTGACTGGTTAGTCATCGTTATGCAAATAATGCAGTTGATTTATTAAAAATGTGGGGATTTACTTCCATGAAAATTTACAATAAAATTTTCATTTTCTTGGACTTCAAAAAAAAGATCATTTTTGTTTTACTTTTAGAAGACTGGTAAAGCATGCATATCATATACAGAACATGAAACCACATATTCAGTTGTGGTAGGGACATTTCAGTGGAAAACCAGGAAAAACCCTACCTAAAATATAATGTCTCTCCTTTTTTCCTAAACCCCTTACTCCTCCTCTTTTACCTCTTTTATGGTTTACCTGTTGAGCAGTGTCTGAAGCATGAACTCTTGAGACTGCAGACTTTGTAGCTAATATGCTGGACACCCTGTAATTGGCTTTGTTTCAAAGTCCATGTTTTTTAAGCTTCAGCCTTAGAAACACAAGATGCCTGTGCTGCCGGCTTGCTACAGCGGACATTGACTGGAGCTGGCCAGGGGTGAAGTACTGATACAATTAATGTGGCAACTAGAATCGGTGTTCCCTGTCGTCCCAGGAGAAGAACAGAGTAGTAGCAGGGCGCATACAGGGTAACATAAATGCAACTTTGCTTCCACCCACCCTGAATGGAGTTTTTTCACATCTTTCAAGCATAGAGACGCTCCTAGAATATCCTCTCCTTCAAGAGAACAGGATGTTATTAGTAAGTGGCAATCAAATGACTTATGAAATTAGATTTGGTCGTAGACCAAATAAAACAAAGTGAAGACACTAATTATGTTATTTGTCATCTTAACATGAGATTCAGTTACTTTCCCAATTTATAATTAGAGGAAAATCAGATAGCATAGTAATCTCTATGTTTGTAAAAAAAATCTTCTATTTAATGCTTTCAGATTAGAATCCAATTGTATGTTTTATTAAAGTAATATAATGGCTAAAGTAGTAAATATCTTACATTTGCTCCTAGCAGCTTTCATGTTCAGTATGTATATTGCATTTATTGATATTTAGGAACAGAAGAGGGAAACATAGTATTTTAGTTATGTCGATTATTAAACTATTTATGCAGACAATAATTCTGTTTCAAAACTGTCAGTCTATAATGTAGATAAGTAAATGCAGTATTTTGCATTATACATGCCAGAGAGACGTGCACGTATTGCATTGTATACCTGTGAAGAAAGCTCAGTGGATAAGCAAGCCAACATAAATATGTTTACACTAAATTGTAGTAGAAGACTATACACATACATCCAAAGTATTTGTCAACGTTAAGGAACCTGACATCAGGCTGGAGAAGTAGGAACTCTTACCCTGGGCGTGTTTTTGTTTATTGCCGCCCTTTCCCCGTCTCTCCAGCGCAAACCCACTTGGTGTTTGTTGTGGTTGCCTGAAGTCCCTGGTGCCTCTTTCGCAACAGCCGGCATAGGATCGTGTCTGTCGAGCTGCCCTGTTTGCGGCCGTCCTTCCGCAGGGACCGGCTCCCGTCTGTCTGCTAGTGACAGCAATGCCGCTTCGCCTCTTCGTGCCGTTCCGCAGCAGCAAAGATCCCGCAGCTCAGCTGTGCGAGTCGGAAAGAGCCAGGAAAGCACCAAAAAGCAAAGAAGGAAACAAAGGGCCAAGTGGCAGCTGAAAAAACCCAACTTCTTGATTAATTTTACTCATTACAATCTTTTCCCTGCACGTCACCAAGGCTCTCATCTACAGAATAGGACTTAAAATACTACATGCAAACTCCACCTTGCAATTTCCATTTCGAAACACCAACCTGCTTGGGCAGGTTCCCTATTGGAAGCTGCGCTCTGACCAGCAGCCCGAGGTGTTGAATTGATAGAATAGGGCCATGGCTCCAGATTTGCTAATGTCAGGCCTGTGCACACTCGTCTGGCAATGTAAATGTGATCAAGGTCAGGCACTGGTTTAATCTGGTGTCTATCAAACTAGTCATGCACTTGATATGGCGTTTATCCCAGCTGTGTGAGAACAGATGCTATCCGATGTGGAATAAAGACTACTGTAACAGCCTGCTTCAACATTTTTCAAGGTTTTTTTCCATCAGCAGAGTTTGTACTGGCTCAGCAGTCTGCACTGAGTGGCCACAACATTTGTTTTTTAAACCTGGTGATAAATGTTGCAAATCTAGATTTACTATCGCATGGCTGAAGCAGAAAGTATTTCCAGAGGAATAGGAAATGGAATATTCCCTGCAATTCCTGCCTGCACACCCTCTCTGAGGACACCTGCACCGCGTTCAGTTCCCAGTGACTTCTTGCTAGCACCAGTAGTGTTTCCATCACAGTTTGCCTAAGTTTCTTGCACAACCAAGAACAAGCAAAGTTTTTCGGACAAACTTTCTTGTGTAGACAGGCCAGCCATCTGCAGACAGCTTTTGCACAGAGACGCTGATACAGAGAGAGTCTACATGAGTAGGAGGTTGGTTGTTAGATGCTGGGATGGCTGGTTAGTCTCCTAAACGTCGTCAGAGGATCTGCTTGCTCAACAAGAGGGTATCAAATCCCTCACGCCGATGCCTGCCGCACTAGATAGCTACTAATTCCACACGCCTGTTTCCCACTGTTGATGTGGGCTGCGTGTTTGGGTGTGTGTGCATGGGAGAAGAGATGGGTGGTTGCAGTTGCTGTTTGCAGGGTTTTATGATCAATCAGATGCATGAATAAGAGGTGCGTGTTGCTCTCTCCTAGGCCTGTTGACCACAGTGTACGCTTGTATATGCAGTATGTGCTGCTTGGCGACTTTCTGTCAATGAAGGAATTAATTTTACTATTTGCAGACGCGGACTTAAACATGCAGTCTTAATTTGACAAAGTTAGTTTCTGACATAGAACCGATCTGGTACTCTAACGTCATTTCCACTCCCCACCTTTGTGAATAGATCTGACCTCCCGGTCCATGTGTTTAAATGGGTTTATGCACTATGGTACTATACATTAAAAAGGAAGGTGAGGGTGATGTGGAGCACCATTGAGATCACTGTTTCACTGACATTTTAAAAGGAATCTCGTATTTAAATTGCACAACTTACCAACACTGGTTCAGCAAGAGTTGAAACTAGAGAATAAAACAATAAACATTTGCTAAAACAAAACTGCTCATACTGTTCACGATGAACTGTTTGATCTTTACAGCTATAATAGATAATGGTAGAATCACAGCATCCTCATTATGAAGGTTTATTATTGTAGGGCTTTTACAGCTTATCTCTGATTAAACTATAATCTGTATTTTATCGATCCAAATAAACTTCCTAAAGGCAAGGAAGGTGATGATTTTGTTCAAGCAGTACTTTACCCCCTCTGCTATGGATTACTTGTAAGAGTTTTTAGAGACCTAAGATAAGTTCACGCTCCTTGTTGTTACTTTTATTGTTTTGCTACTACGACGTATGCATTTTGTCTATGCTACTATTCACATCTGAGCGTAATTTGAGTTCTTATCTTAGCTATTCATTATCTGACTTGAAAATCCTGTTTCTAAGATGAACTTGTCAGCACTTAATAGCCTCTGCATCCTGCAGAACACATTCTTTTTCATCTTGCATGTATTTGTTTAGAACAATGTTGAGTTTACAGCAGATCTGTTTCCTTTTACAAAGCCGACCTTAAATTACTCAGTCCTGCTTGGCTGAAACTTTCTGCCTAACTTTCCTGCTCAGCTGAAACTACTTCATGCAACAGCTTAGTTATAGTCGTCTTTGTTACACAAAATTACTTCTTCCTATATTGGTGATGTTTCCAGTATACAGTGTACTATATAGAACAGTATTTACATAGAAATTTGTCTAGATATTTTTCAGAGGAACAAAGGTAAGAATTTGGAAGTGTGAATGTTTGCCCGCTAATGCATCCCTGAGGAGGCCAGGGCTTTGCCCCTGCTCCTCTCTGCAGCATCAGTAGCTTCTCACTCACCTCGCTGACTTTCACATCTCCCCTTCTGAACGGCCTGCCCTGTCCGAGGAACCGGAATGAGAAGCACTGCTGAGGTACTCGCAGATCTTTTAGAGCAAAACTCTAAAGTGTTGTCCCTCCTTATACAGCTAACTTGGTTAGAGTTCATTTTTGTTCGTACAGAATGTATAAGGAAAAAAATATTAACGAATAACCTAGTATTTTGAAAGGATGTTCCTACAAAGGCAAGAGTTAACACTTATGTATGATGGGATTATTCCTGTTTTGATTTGAAGGCTATAGAAAATGCATATAAGAATATTGCCTGTTTTGGCTTAGATACTTAGTATGTGGTCCGTGATCTTATAATGCAGGTTTTCCACTATTTATCTGCTGTTTAAAACTAGAGGCACTGGGGCTTCTAAAGTTTACTGGAGAATTATTCAAGGTACCTAACTGAACAGAGGGCGGCAGCTGAGCAGCTAAGGGTTTACCTCCCGCTTATCCCACCTGAGTTCACGAATTCTGTTTGCCAGTTGGGTTTGCGCAGACAGCCGGGGCTGGTATGTGGCTGCCTTAAAAGGAGGAGAG